CCTAGCAGCGGGCAGCCTTCGCTCTGCCTGTGTGGGTCTTTGCTCGTATTATTTTTAAGCCTCAGTTTTCAATTTTAAAATGGACGTGGCAAGGTACAAAACCTTAGGCTGCGAGTTTTTCAAACTCTGCTCGTTGTGCCTTGTCGGTAACTCTTGTTTCCAAAGCGTCTGGCGGGGCTCGGCTGCTGCTTCCCTCACCATGCAGACTGGACTCCTGGGCAACGAGGAGCCAGCACAGGAACCAAGGAGCTGTGAGGGTGCAGGGGACGGAACTGAGCCGTGGACCTGCTGGAGACAGGGCTGAGCCTGCAGAGAGGAGCACGTGGCTGGTGGGTTGTGTGCAAAGCATGCGCCTCCTGTGCTGTTTTCTCTAGAGACTGCAGTAGAGGTTTGAATGGCTTCCAGTTCGTTTTTTCCTACTTAACTGCTGTTTCTTTAAACAGCACTGAACTCAGTCTGGGCTGGAAGTGGCCACGTTCACTTCGTCCAGAAGAGCTGGGACAGCTGGCCTCTGGTGCCCAGAGGTGGGGTGCAGGGAGGGTACCCCGATGCTGTTCTGTGCTGCCCTGGAGCCCCAGGCAGCAGCATGCAGAGGTTTGCAGTGGGATGTGAGTGGCTCCCCCAGCGTCTCACAGAAACCAGCCATGCGGTGTCCTCAGGGCGAACGTAGACAGAGAGCCTAGCAGGATTCGAAGGACGCATGGTAGATCAGACTCTGGGAAGCAGTTGGGCCTGGGCCACGTAGTGGGGCCATGGGTCCCACCAACAAGGATGGCACCGGCCAGGTCCTGTGCAGAGTCCTCCTCCTGCAGCAGGGCCTGCAGGGCTGACCAGCACTGCCACCTCGCGAGGCCCTGCACCAGCACACAGAGCACAAAGGGGCATGGACACCCGGGAGGCCCTGGTCTGCTTGGTGCTGGTGTCCAGCTGCTCTGGGCGCTGCCCCAGCATGACAGCTGGGGCCTCTGGGGGTGGCTGCAGATGTGACCATGCCTCTCTTCGTGGCTCAGCTCATGCTTAGGATACTTCTAGATGACAACACCTGAGACTGGATAATCTAGAACAACTGAAATGTCCTGGGCTCCCAGCTCTGAAGGCAGGAAAGCCCAAGAGTTTGGTGCTGGCTTCTAAGGGCCGTGTGCCACGTCGCTTGTACCAGGAGAGGACCGAGCCAGAGAAGGCAAGGCTGCCCTTCACAGAACCCCCTCTAGAAGATTCCCTCACCCGAACAACAGCAGCGGGATCTGTTCACGTAGTCCTCTCGGCTCTAAACGGAGCCTGTATCGAGAAGGCTGGCAGGCATCGAACACTATCACGAGCTTCTGGGCCTCCTGGCCTCGGGGCCCAGACGGTGGCCAGCCTCGGGAAGGCACACACAGCTTCCCCAGGTACACAGACTGTGAACCTGGGCAGGAGCAACCTCCTCCCAACCCAGAGGGTGCCGCAGCCCTTGCCCACACCTGCAGCCCATGGTGGACTCTGGCTTGGGCCTGAGCGGCTTCCACTGGATTCTGACCAGGGACAGCAGCTGTCCCTTCGTAGAGGTGGCTGTCCCTCCCCCTGGAGGTGCTGTCATACGGGACCCAAGTAGAGGGGGCAGCCAGGTTGCCGGGCACGTGTACTCCAGGTGCGTTTCTAAGCATCCTGGTGGGGGCGCACTTGGGCAGAATAGAGACCCAGGTGTGCCGGTTCCCACATTCCAGTGGGAAACAGTGGGGAGATAAAGGATCCAAGGGAAGAGAGACTAACCAAAGCAACAACGCAGCCAACAGTCAAAAGGAAATCCCACCCCCAAGCGTCTTGGACGTGGGGGAAGCTCGTGGAGTGAAGCTTCGGAGCCACAAGGCCAGCACTGCACTTGGGGGCCAGGGTCTGCGGAGCCAGCAGCAGCAAGCACGTTGTGGAGAGCATGCACAAGAGGGCCTTCTGGAAGGTCTCCGCGTAGCCGGGCCCCTCGCCACCCTCCCCCATTCTTCAAGTGGCCTTTGTTGGCCTCCCATTTGATGCCTCTGTCTGCGAAGCACAGGTCCACGTCCGACCGACCAACCCTTAGCTAGAGGGGACTGGGCTCTGTGCCAGCCATGGGGAGGGGGCGCCAGGAGAGAAGCAGCCCAGACGCAGGAAGGGGTTCTCCAGCTGCTGCAGGGCTAACAACAGCCAGCCCTTCCTGAGGGCTACAGGAGTCCACAGCTGTGCTGGGCTGCACGGAGTTTCCACAATGCTGTTAGGGACCACAGAGGTTGCCTTCTTTACAGAACAGAGGACTAATACTTGTTGACCCCTCCCTGGACAAACCCCATGGCTTACTAACTCTCAGCAACTCACCTGTGATGTCCCCTGTGCTGACAAAAATGAGCTTCTGGAACCATTGAAAAAGAGTAGCCCTCCTCTCCGCTTTCCCCAGCCATGGCCCTCCGCTATCCCATGGCCATGGGCCTCAACAAGGGCCACAAGGTGACTAAGAATGTGAGCAAACCGAGGCACAGCCGCCGCCGCGGACGTCTCACCAAACCCACCAAGTCCGTGCGGGACATGATCCGGGAGGTGTGCGGCTTCGCCCCCTAGGAGCAGCGTGCCATGGAGCTGCTCAAGGTCTCCAAGGACAAGCGC